GACAGTAATTATATATAGCACATACCTGGAAGTCATTAGTGTTTACTGAATGAGTTTGGGGCATGATGACTCCAGGATGTGACTTCCTGAGGACATTTATAAAGCCTAATTATCTTACTGCAAACACAGCCACACTGTAGCCCTGGTGAGTTCATGCTTGGTCTGCAGCAGAACGTCATCTATCACAAACGCCAACGTAGACTCCAAGATCTTGTTTTGCTCATTCCACAATGTACTCTAGAATCCTGTTTCATTTAGAATCAGAACTTTACTTCTTCCTTTACTCCTTTATCCAGAGCATGAAGCTTCTGAATGCACACAAGATCATGCAGGATTCATTGCCTTTCAAATCCCTCACACCACAGTCAGAACGGAGTCAGAATTGTCAAGGAAGCAGACCAAGAGGCAGTCGTCAGAAGAGAGCAGGGCAACACTGAATGGTTCAAAATTGGAAAGGGTGTGTGCCAGGGATGTGTCCTATCTCCATACCTTTTCAACCTGTATGCAGAGCAGATTATCAGAGAGGCTGGGCTCTATGAGGAGACGCGTGGCGATAGGATTGGTGGAAGATGCATCAACAATCTGCGATATGCAGATGACACAACCTTGCTCGCTGAAACTGAGGAGGACCTCGTGCACTTACTGCAGAGGGTCAAGGACTGCAGCCTTCGTTATGGACTGAGGCTCAATGTCAAGAAGACAAAAATTCTCACCACTGGACCAATCGGCAGCATCAGGATGGATGGTGAAGAGATTGAGATTGTTCACAGCTTTAGTTTGCTTGGCTCCACGGTCAACACTCTTGGCACCAGCAGCCAGGAAATCAAAAAACGTATTGCGATGGGAAAGTCTGCTGTTAGGGACCTCTCTAAAGTACTCAAGAGCAACGGTGTCTCTTTGGAGATGAAGGTGCGCCTGATACAGGCCATGGTCTTTGCAATCACTTGTTACGTATCAGAGTTGGACAATGACTAGGGAGGACAGAATTGATGCCTTTGAGCTGTGGTGTTGGAGAAGAGTATTGAATGTACCATGGACTGCCAAGAAAACAGATTCATCCTAGAGAGGGTTAAACCAGGCTACTCCTTGGAGGCAAAGATTCTGGGGCTTCATCTGACATACTTTGGACATGTTCCAAGGAGAGACAGGTCTTTGGAGAGGGACATCATGCTGGGTAGAGGGACAGCGCAGGAGGGGAAGGCCCTCTATGAGGTGGATTGATTCAGTGACTGGGGTAATGGGGATGGGTGTGTCAGAGGCAATGCGATTGGCAGGGTTTAGGGCTGTTGTACATAGGGTCGCTATTAGTCACAACGACTTGACGGCACATAACAACATGATAAAATGTCATGTCCTCTACTGGCATCAACTATATTAAAGACTATCAAACTGGGGGTGCTCAATGGTTAGGGGGACTCAAAACAACTCCAAGGACCCAGGGCTGGCAGGGTACTTAAAGACAGGATCTTCAGATGACCAGATTATTGACTGTGTAGCCAATGATTTCCCAGCTTTGTCTACCTACGGTCAAACAAATGGCAACATGTGCTCCAAGAGCCCAGATTCTGCTTCCCCAAATGCTGTATTTAACTAAGAACAGGTGGATTCACAAACAGCCATGGAACCAGCAGTCAAGAAGTCAAAAGATGTGCTGTACAGGGAACATCTATGGTCAAGACTCTCTCCCAAGTGCTAAAGACAGACCAATTTGTTTAAAGACTAAGGTGTACCTGATGGAAGCCAAAATCTTGAGAACTGTGTATCTGAAAAGTTTTGACAGTGAATAGATTACAGAACTGATGCCTCTGAATTTTGGCGAGATTATGGAATATCCCACAGATTGTCAAAAGAACACGTCTATCTTGGAAGAAGTGCAACTGGATTGCTCAGGATGGTGCCACTTCATCTCACATTCTGGGCAATTTGTCAGGATGCACCAGCGGCCTGGCCTCTGTAAATCTTCCTGTGACCATCTCTGGAATGCAAACCACACACATACTCTACTCCTGGCTTCCTCTGAGGTGTCAAAGTGGATTTTATGGTATATTTATTCCACTATAGAAAAGGCGGATCACTGAGAGAACACTTTGCAAGATGGTTTGACAGTGATTATAATGGGCAGATGGAGGGGAGGACGCACAAGAGTTTGTACCCGTGTTCACTAGGGTCACTACTGAGTCATGGTCAATTCAAGAGCACCTAACCATTATCTGGTATTTTACTGGAAACCTCAGTAATGTTGCAAGAATTAAAACCCACTGGGCTGAAGGGCTTTCAAGCAAGCTCAAGCTGCTGACTAATCAGCCACACCCTTTTCCCAACTCAATGAGCACCTGTTAGCTTCCCCAAACCCCACAATCACGACAGGTCCTGTGTGGCCACTGCAAACCCAGAAGGAATGGAACTGGTGGTAGCTATGTCACCATGGGGAAATGTCTGTCTGGCAACAGGGAAATCGGTGCTGTGCTGACAGACTATTGACTCCTGTGAAGTTGGTGGAGGTCTGACTCAGTCACCGCATTCGCTGTCCTGTCTCCTTAGAAATGATTTATTTCTAAGATAGGTATAGAGATACGGACTACATCAACCATGAGTAACACATTTCATTATAAGTCATGGCTTTCTAGGGAACGCCTGCTTAAGTCTCTAGAATGACCATCTCTAGAATGCAAACCACACACACTCATGGCTTTCTCTGAGGTGTCAAAGTGGATTTTATGGTATACTCTTGAATTGTCTTTGACTACCTTCTAATAAAAACAAACAAAAAAAAACCCACCCACAAGATAACTACTTAATTATAATGGAAATTAATGTTATAAAGTCTGAGTGAATGAACAATCAATGTAAATCTTCACTAAAAAAAAAATTGTGCTAACAGTTGTAGAATTGTATTCATGGCACAAACTCATCACTGGAAAAAGGGCATCTGCCTATCGGCAGTGAGGACCTAAGTAGTCCCAATTAGTCTGAGGGGAAGATACGGTGTATTCTAATCACAAAGCAATTGCGATTAAATCAAGTTCATAAGCTCCGTTTACCCTTAAGGTCCTAAATATAATTGCCATAGGCCTGAAATTTGAGTTATAAACAAGAAAAAAAAAATCACAAGAACTGTCATATTTTAAGTACTCGAAGTCCAAATTAAGGTGCTGAGCAGGAACCTGGAAGGATGGAATCTTTGTTATCTAGTAAGTAATTGTCTCAGAATATGTTAAAATCACTAGAACAGGGTAAATGGTTATGAAAATAGATCAGTACAAAAATAAATTAGTAAGTTCAATTCATTAAGGTATTGCTTTTAGCTTTCCTGTATTAACTTTTAAGTTTTTATAACCCAGGAGTTTTTCCAATCTTACACTTCTCACAGGTGAGAACTTGGTTACGTTCACCAAGATAAGGCATCTATACATCTTGCCCTTAATGTTTCTGAGAAACTTCAGACAAGATCCTTTCTTAGTACTCTAAAACTTGGGAATAGCAATTCTAGTCCAGAAACCAAGGGATTACCTGCAATGTTTTGCACCAATGTTGACTACACAAGAAATTTAAACCAAGTCCTTCTCTCAGCTACAAACTTCTTAAAAAGCTTTTGGTCTTTTTCTCTTGAAAACATTAACTTTGGTTAAAGCAAATTTTTATTCCCCCTTAAACACAAGTTTCTGAAAGATGACAGAGGCTTATGACTTCATTTATCAAGAACGGTATCTATTCTTTAAAACAGACAAAAAATAAGGGACGATCATTACTGAGGCCATTATGAAAGAAGGGAGAATTATGCAGGGCAGAGGAAGCACTATTTGATATGTAAAAATAATCATTTAAAATAAGTTCATAGAAGCACCAACCAGTGTTGTGGAGCCCAAGAATTTCTTAAAGAAAAACACATGCATTTCATTTTTCCTTTGAAATCCTGGTCAAAGAAAACCTATTTTGATGGAATTTTTCATTTTGCTGCATCAGGTCTACCTTGTAAATTCTGAACCTACAAAACCACCCTGGTAGCAGGAGGACTGGGCCACTACGCCCTGAAACCCTAGTTGAGTTTCTACTGAAATATAAACACGAGGCAAAGAACCTAGACCACGGCAGACCAAGGGTGAGTGCTTTCAAAGCGTTCAACAAAACTACTTCAAAGTATCTCAGCAAATGCAGAGAAAAGAACTTAACTGCAAGTTCTTATGGTGAGAAGCATAAATGTATGATCTAATCAGCCACTGCTTCCTACAAATTTAGTTTAATTTGGGTTCTCCAGTATTCATTATACTACTCAGGAAGCTTGGGGTAAAATTCCATTAAATTTCCCCCTCAAGAAGCACGCATCATAAAATGTCTACAACGATCCCACCTATTATTACATCTCAATACTCCTTAACCATGGCTAGCTGTGGGGTTTAAATTACCAATCAACTTTACCAAGTGCTATGTGAATGCCTGGTTAAGTAATTTTTCCACAGAAAATGATGTTATTTGCTTTTCTACTTTGACCAATATGCTAAAGTACCTGATCAAAAGCTTTTTTACCCAAAATTAGTAAGAAACTATGGCCTAAAAGAGTAATTAGACCAATCATTTCTATAAAGTAGGATTACAAGTTTAAAAAAGACCCAAAAATTAGCTATAAAGAGTTCAACAAAGTTACACCATCTAAAACAAACTTAGGCAAATCATCTTTTATTTTAACCCAAACTTGTTAAAGGGGCAGAAAAAAAGACCATTGTAAATTTGAGTAACAGCACAAAATGTTATCCAAATTGAATAATTTATTGCTCGTCAGAAGCTCGCCTTGTTTTACACTTAGTAGCAGGTATTCATATTACAGGAATTTGATACTGACTTATTCAGTAAGGCAATCATGT